AGTGCGTCGACGCGGCATTTTGGTTCTACTAGTTGGCAGTGCGTTGACTCAGTATATTGGCTGTATTGGTTGGCAGTGCGTCGACTTGATACTTGGGCTTTGCGTCGCCATCTGGACGCTGTCGCTACAAGGGACCTTAATACTTTGTATTAAGCTCTGACTTGTGATATTGTTGGTTGTGGTTGGATTAGTGTTGGTTTTGTTCGTATAGAAGATATTAGTTGAGACACCACTGTTTGCTATATATAAATTCTTGTCGTTGACTTTGTCTTCCGCGACTATTGATCTGCGTCTATTGAGAGTTGTGATACTGGTGCTCTGTCCACCCCGAAGCCCTCACATCTTTTACACACTGAGAAGCTGATTACGAGGAGTGTGAACGTGTTTATATTTGGGTTTACTTTCATAGTAGATTCACCTGTGAGCGCGCCCTCAGCATTTCACTGGGTCGAGCGTCTTGCTGAACAGTTGCTCCAGGATGTAAGGGCAACCTCGAGACCCGATCTCAGAGTTCTGGCAAGGGAGAATCCAAAGTGTCAATAGTGGTAGCTAGGTACAAGACCGGCATACCTGGCAAGGGAGAATCCAAAGAGAAACCGTGTTGGGGATTCTCCTTGCCAGGCGCCACTATTTATATGATACAAGAACAATAGAGCACGCAGCGACAAACAAAGAACAATGGGAACAATAAGTACAATGGCCATTGGAGAACAATAGGAAACCGAGACAGTGGGAACGATGGGATACCTGACCATGTGCCCATCAGAGAGAAGCGCTCGGCGCGGCAGTCCGGGCCGCAGCACGTGACAGCTGACAGGTCACGTGAGTGCGATCACATGCCTGATCGAAGGCAGAGCGGTCCGAAGCGGGGGTTCCTCTGACATCACCCCCCCTTGGATTACGGCGCCTCGACGCAACGTGCGGATGGTGGCAGAGGGGTGCTGGAACGGAAGGGAGTCAAAGATGGCGGCGGCAATGATGCGTGGCTTGTTGGGGTGCTTGCGGTAGAATGCCGCTATAGCGTCCTCTGCGAAGATATCAGAGTGCTTAACCCATTGGTCGTGCGACGAATTGTAGCCCTTCCACCGCACGAAGTACCAAATGCTCCGATAGCGCATCTTGGCATCCAGAACCTCTTCGACTTCCCACTCCTCGCCAGCTCCTTGGCCCATGACAGGTGGCAGCTCCTCGCGAGCCGGGCGTGTTGGGAACAGGTCGTCCTCAACGGGCTGCAGCTTGACAACGGGGAAGACTGGGTGGAGACCAGAGAGGTGGCGGGGGAGGTCAAGCTTGTAAGCGCCGCGCCCAACAACCTGGGTGACTTTGAAGGGACCCAGCCGTCGGTGAGAGAGTTTGAGGGACAGGCGCGTTGTTGCTATGTCAGAAGCATCAAGCCAGACTCGATCTCCGACCTTGATGTCTGGAGCCGAGACCCTCCGGCGGTCGTAGTACTGCTTGTACTCATCCTTTGCCTTCACCAGTGCCGACTTGGCTTCTGCCACTCCGGACGCGATGCGGTCGCAGAAGTCGTTTGCCGACTCGTTCACAGCTGAGCGTAGTCCATTCGGTTCAAAGCCCATACGAGGGAGTCGACCGGTATCTGTCATGAACGGGACCTGCTGCGTGGATGAGTGAATATGGTTGTTGTAGGCAAACTCTGCAGCGGGAAGCAGCTCGTCCCAGTTGTCCTGGTTGTAGCTGGTGAAGATCCGGAGGAACTGCTCGAGCTCCTGGTTCACACGCTCGGTCTGGCCGTCCGTCTGTGGATGCCAAGCCGTAGACATTGCCGATGAGACCCCGACCAGTTTCCACAGCTCCTGCGTGAACTCTGCTATGAACTGGGAGCCACGGTCAGAGACATACTTAGACGGCAGCCCATGGTGGCGCCAGACGTTCTTGTAGAAAAGCCTGGCGGCACCTTCACCGGAGAGCCGGGTGTGGCATTCTATGAAGTGGCTGCGCTTCCCAAGCATGTCAACAACGACCATGATAGCATCATACCCGTGAGCGTCTAGCAGATGCACAATGAAGTCGACCGACACCGCTTCCCAGCGCTCCGAAGGGACCTCCGTGGGATGGAGTTCCCCAATTGGGAGTTGGCGGAGCGCCTTAGTTCGGCAGCACAGGTCGCAGGTGGCCACATACCGGCCGACGTGTCGAGACAACTGGGGCCACCAGTAGTTCCGAGAGACAAGCTCCAACGTCTTGAAGCGGCCAGCATGCCCTGCGACGCGGGTGTCGTGGTGCTGCTCAAGGATGCGTCGGTGGAGGTCGTTGTTGCGTGGAACCACCAGCTTGCCATGGAAGTAGAGCAGGCCGCCTTCTTTTTGCCACTCCGCAGCCCGAGCAGAGCGAACTCCGCGTTCCTTGAGGAGCTCACGTGCTGCCAACACAATGGGCTCCTCCATGTCGGGGGTACCGGCGAGGGCCTCCCGGATGTCGCGCAGGAGAGGGGCTTCGGGTCCAGAGATAGTGAGACCCTCTAAGGCCCGGACATGGAACAGCTCTGGGCGCAGCAGTGTGACGTCTGCGTTGTCCGAAGCGACTCTGTGGTCAGGGCGGCGCGAGAGAGCATCCAGGCGGCCCATGAGGCGGCCAGCTTGGTGGTGCAGGGTGAAGTCGAAGCGAGACAGATAGAGGGACCAGCGGGCTTGACGACAGTTGAGATTCTGGGCCTTCCGGAAGTACTCCAGATTTTTGTGGTTGGTCCAGATCTCAACGGGGTGCTCGGCGCCCTCGAGGAAGTGTCGCCACTCCTCCAAGGCGCGGACGATGGCGAGCATCTCCTTGTCGTGGATTTCGTAGTTCCGCTGGACCTCGTTAAGACTCTTCGAGAAGAAGGCGACCGGATGCCACTTGTCATCCACGGGGGACTGCTGCGAGATGACAGCACCGGTCGCGAAGTCCGAACTGTCTGCTTCGAGGCGGTAAGACCTGGAAGCATCCGGGAGCTGCAGGACTGGGGTAGAGGTAACAGCGTTCTTCAGTGCAAGAAATGCAGCTGCCTCATTGGCGCCCCAAGTCCATGCCACGTCCTTCTTGGTGAGGTCAAAGAGAGGACGGGCAACGTGCGAAAAATCCTGGATGAACCTCCGGTAGAAGTTAGTGAAGCCGAGGAACTGCTGCACTTCCTTCTTGTTAGCCGGAGCTGGCCACTCCGCCACACCTGCGACCTTGACCGGGTCCATCTCCACATGGTTGTGGGAAATGATCACCCCAAGGTATTCGATCGACGGCATCTCGAACTCGCATTTCTCCGCACGAAGGTAGAGCTTGTTCTCGCGGAGACGTCGGAGGACTTTGTTCACGATTTCCTGGTGACGGTGGATATCGGAATGTGTGATGAGAATGTCATCGAGGTACACCATAACGTCGCCAGAAAGGATGAGGTCCTGAAGTATGTCATTCATCATTGTCTGGAACGTTGCAGGGGAATTGGTCAGGCCGAAATACATCACCAACGGCTCAAAGAGCCCGCGGTTTGTCTGAAACGCTGCCTTCCACTCGTCGCCTTGACGAATGCGTACGTTGTTGAAGCCCCAGCGAACGTCGAGTTTGGTGAAGAACCGAGCTCCCTTGAGCTTGTTGATGAGATCATTGATCAGGGGAAGTGGGTAGCGGTTCTTCACTGTCATCGCGTTTAGTGCTCGGTAATCTTGGACAAACCGTAAGCTGCCATCCTTCTTCTTCATGAAGAAGACGGGAGATGCCATGGGCGATTTTGACGGCCGAATCCTGCCAGTAGCCATGCCCTCCTCGATGAAGTTGTCGAGTTGCTTCTGTTCAAGAGGGGAGATGGGGTAGACCTTACAGTTGGTTGGCTTTGCGTCGGGAACCAGTTCAATGGCGTGATCCCAGAGGCGTCGCTCTGGTAGGTTGTCGAAGGACTCCTTGCTGAAAACATCTTCAAACTCGTGGGCCCACTCGGGGATGGTATCCCAAGGAGGTGCAGAGTTCTTAGCAAACGCCTCGGCAAGTCGCTAAGAGACGGTGCTGGTGGCTCAGATGTTTTCAGAAGGGTTGAAGCAGGTGTAAAAGATACGGTCACCGGCTTCCAAGGAGTCGTCATCTTCTTCGACATCTTCAGGGTCATAATCGTCCGAATCTGGCAAAAGCTCCGGCATCTCTTTGTCCTCGTGGTCCTCAATGTCGACAGCGCAGATGGATGGAACCGGACCTTGTCTGATGGTGCAAAGCACCCGGGCCGCGGTTCTGGCAGATCGATGTTCTTTGCAAAGTTCCTCCCGGCAGGTGGAGCAACCGGAAGGGCAACGGCTCATCTTTACCTCCTGGGTATCCCAGTTGATCTCCGGGTTGTGCTTCCGGAGCCAGGAGTACCCTAGAATGAGCTGCTGCTTGCCTAAACGGGTGACAGCAAGCTGCACGCGTTCACTGTGGCCCTGGTAACGGAGAACCACATCAGCAACTTCGCGAATGGAACCGGCCTCGTTCGGCGTGCCGTCCACGTTGTAAACGGGGATAGGCTGGGTGAGGCGACAAACGGGGAGGTGATTTTCGAGGACGTAGGCCGAGTCGATGAAGTCAGATGTAGCGCCACAATCGACTAGGCCTTTGAGAGATAGCTTCACTGCGTTGTCAGTGGACTCGATCTCCAGGGGGAGGTTGAGGGAATTGGCCCCGGAGGAGGCGGCAACAACATAGCAGGAAGGGAGCTTGTGTTCCCACTTCTCCTTGCGGACTCATGGGGTTGGAGGCGGGGCAGGGTGTACGTCTATTGTTTCAACTGTTGCAGAGTGGACAGAATTGGATTCATCATACAAACAGGAGAAACAATTACGTGAAGCGAACGAGGGCGTACTACTCACTTGTCGCTGGGGGGAAAACCCTGTTCCACCTCAGCTGTGACATCAGCCGCGTGATCCGCAATGGCTGCAGTGGTCGCGACCCAAGCAACCAACTCGGAAAGCAGATCACTCCCCAGCTGATTGATGACCTCATCAAGGACATTGGCGTGACATATGTCAGCTGGGGTGGGGCAGTCATGGGCAAGATGACCTGGACTGCCGCAGCGGAAGCAGGTGCATCGAATGTCACCACAGAGCCGGGCCCGGTCTACCTCCATGGGAATTGGATGGGCAACGGGGGCGGGCACCGGGTGGGCAGTGAGGGCTGGTGCTACAGCAGGGAGCACCGGGGCACAAGGATGGGGGGCAACAGCAGGCGCTCGGGGAGGAGGCGCTGCGTGGCCTCGAGAAGCTCTGGCAGCGAGTTCCGCATTGTACTGCCGGAACGCGCGGACACGCCATTCAGCATAGTCGGTGAGGCTGGGAGGGTTACCAGAGGTGGTGATGGCTTGGTTGATCCTTGGGTCCAGGCCCGTCCTATATTTGGTCACCTTGACCAAGTTGTCGGTATAACCAGCGAGGTCAAGGAGGTCGTTGTACTCGTCCGTGTACTTGAATACGTTGCAGGAGCCCATATAATACTGATGGGTTTCCAGTCACGCCAAGGCGTGGTCTTGCTCGTTCTCCTCGACGAATCGGAGCTTGAACTCAGTGACGAACAGAGCCCAAGTGGGGAACAGGAACGGGGTGCGCTCAGACATGCGCTCGGACCAGGAGGCTGCCGAGTCCTTGGACATGTAGGAGAGGGCAAAGCGGACTACCTTCTCCTCAGCGACCACCCCATTCACGAAGAACGCCTCGGGGAGCAGTCGCCAGTACTGCTTCACCGAGTGCAAGAAGCTCTTGCCCAAGGTGCGATCCCCATCAAACAAGAAGGGGGGGTTAGGACGGATGAGGGGGCGCGCAGTGTTCGACTGCGAGCCAGCAGAAACACCTGGACCCATAGCCAGAGCTGGTGCAGGGGCAGGGGCAGGGGGTTGTGGTTGGTTGAGGAGCCGATTGAGTACGGCTTCGATGTTCTGGATGCTGGTCTCCAGAGCGGACAGTCGATGCTGGGAGTTGTCGTCCTCCATGCTGATTGAGTGTGCTTGTGGAGGGGAGGAGGGGGCAAGAAAAGAGGTGACGGATTGGCGGTCTTGGTCGCTCGTCGACTCGTCTCCGCTGTTACTATCGGCGTCAAACCTCGCAATCTTGACCAGTTATCCCTAGGAACACGGTTTCTGCTGTAAGGGCAACCTCGAGACCCAATCTCAGAGTTCTGGCAAGGGAGAATCCAAAGTGTCAATAGTGGTAGCTAGGTACAAGACCGGCATACCTGGCAAGGGAGAATCCAAAGAGAAACCGTGTTGGGGATTCTCCTTGCCAGGCGCCACTATTTATATGATACAAGAACAATAGAGCACACAGCGACAAACAAGGAACAATGGGAACAATAAGTACAATGGCCATTGGAGAACAATAGGAAACCGAGACAGTGGGAACAATGGGACACCTGACCATGTGCCCATCAGAGAGAAGCGCTTGGCGCGGCAGTCCGGGCCGCGGCATGTGACAGCTGACAGGTCACGCGAGCGCAATCACATGCCAGATCCCAAGCTGATCAATCAGAAGAGGGGGTTCCCCTGACACTGAGGATCAAAATCAGTCCAAACTCAAAGATGTTGATCTGACCCGCAGTCAGACATGCTGCATGCGTTGGGTTTTGTCCCTGCAACCGGACTTCCGGACTTCCTTGCAGAGAAGCCATTGTTTCAGGTCATCATTGAAAAGGAAGGCCACAAATGCTTTTTTCTCCCCAAATTTCACTGCGAACTTAATCCAATTGAGATGGTCTGGGGTCAAGCAAAACAATGTGAGTGATAAAATCTGATCAATTCTTGATCTCACATGCTGTCATCCAGATTTCCGTCAGTTCTCTGATGGAACATTTCCCAAGGCCAAAACATTAGTTCCTGAAGCACTGAATCAAGTGACTGGCCAACATTATAATACAGGAAGAGCACCGCATCCTGACGTTGTTCTCATTTAGAAATGGACTCAATGTGAAACAAGCTGCTTATGCAGTGAAGAAATATTCATCTCATTGCCGGATTCCTATCTCCATTCTGAAGCATGAGGAAATCATTCGCTGCGCATGACAATCAATTATCTCGTGACTTACATGTGACACATCTTATGTAATCATTCACTTTTTTGGACCAAAAATCTTGAAAGTTGTTAGTGGCCTTGGCAGAGCACAAGCCATAAACTAGACTACATTATGAGTGTTCCTATATATATAACAACTCGACTAAGTTTTTCTTGGAGACGCAGATAGAGTTGCCATTTTGGGTTAGGTTACAGGCTAAACCAGTAGTCACAAAGTGGTGACGGGTACTGTACATCCAGATTACGGGCCTGGACTCAGGAAAAACACGCAGAGCCAAGGCAATGCTTGATAGTGGTTACAGTACCTGCTGCATTGACACCAACTATGCATGAGCAGAGAAACTGGATATCCAGGAGCTTCCGCAACTGATCGTGGCTTGTAATGCCAACAACACCAAGAACATCAATGGTCGGATCACCCATTATGTTGACTTGAGGATGAGAATCGGTCCTCATGTGGAGACACGCACGTTCCTTCTGATGTGTCTAGGAAAAGCTTGGATCTTCATTGGCCTTGACTGGTTATCAGAACACAACCCCAAAGTGGATTGGCAGGAGCAGACAATGAAATTCAGCCGATGTCCAGAGCGATGTCACATGAGAGGCCACGAGGAGCACCAGGCAATGATTGATATGGATGCAATTGACCTGGACACGGGCGCACCAGATCTGGAAGAAGGAGAATCAATCCTGTTGGTTGACTTCGGGAAGGAAGTAGATCTACGGCTGAAGGAAACACTGGCACAGAAATTCGCAGAAGAACCGGAAAAGGAGAAGGAGAGAATGACCAAGGGGAAGATTCCGGATCAATATTGGGAATTTGTCAAGGTGTTTGCCAAAGAATTGTTTGACTCACTACCAAACCGATGGACATGGGACCACACAATCAAACTTAAACCAGGTTCCAAAGCAGTGGACTGCAAAGTATACCCTCTGTCCTGAAACAAGCAGGTCAAACTTGACAAGTTGCTAGAGGAGAATCTGGCCAGTGGACAGATCAGGCCATCAAAGTCACCAATGGCATCAGCGTTCTTCTTTGTCAAGAAAAAAGATGGCTCGCTACGCCCCGTCCAAGATTATTGGAAGTTGAACAAGATGACAATCCAAAATCAATACTTACTGCCACTTATCTCCGAACTGGTCCATAACCTATGCAGCGCCAAGTTCTTCATGAAGTTAGACATCTGATGGGGATACAACAATGTACAGATCAAAGAGGGCAACAAATAGAAGGCCACATTCCGCACAAACCGCGGACTGTACGAGGCTCTGGTTATGTTCTTTGGTCCCACAAACTCCCCAGAAACCTTTCAAAACATGATGAACGACATACTTTGGGAACTGATCAACAAGGGTCACGTGGCAGTTTATCTGGACAATATGTTGATCTTCACAGAAAACCTGGATGAACATTGACGAATCACAAAACAAGTGCTTGAATTGCTCCAAAAACACAAGTTGTACCTGAAACCCAAAAAGTGCAAGTTTGAACGCACGGAAATCAAATATCTGGGTGTAATTATTGGACACAATTCGATGCGGATGGACCCAGTCAAGATCAAGGGTGTGATGGAATGGCCTGAACCAAAGAGTGTCAAACAAGTCCAAGCATCCCTGGGGTTCACCAACTTCTATCAGCGCTTTGTTCGGGGATATGTGGAGGTGGCAAAGCCATTGATGCAGCTGACAGGGAAGGCAGGATGGTCATGGGGTCTGGATGAGCATGCGGCATTTGACAGATTGAAGAAGAGAATCGCGGAGGATGCAGTCTTAGCACTGCCAAATGACACTGGCCAATATCGTCTGGAAGCCGATGCTTCGGAAGGGGCAACAGGATCAGTTTTGAGCCAAAACCAAGACGGCATTTGGCGCCCAATCGCATTTATTTCGCACGCACTGACCGAAACCGAGCGAAATTACGAGATCTACGACAAGGAAATGCTTGCAATCATGCTATCATTGGACGAATGGAGACAGCTACTACTGGGAGCCACAGAGACGTTCGAGATCTTCACTGATCATCAGAATCTTGAGTACTTCCGGAAGCCGCAGAAGCTCAATCGACGGCAAGCACAATGGATCACGGAGTTGGCAGAGTTTGATTTCACCTTACGACACCGACCCGGCGCACTCAACCGCAAGGCGGACCTCCTGTCTCGACGAGCAGATCACGATCAGGGCAAGAACGACAACAAGGACGTCACACTACTGAAGCCCGAGTTCTTCCGATCACAAGAAGTCACATTTGAGGGACAGGATCAGCAGCTAATCGATGAAATCAAGGCCATTCGATCAATTGACGGAAGCATCAAGGCGGCCTTAGAGAAGTCACTCATCGGATGGAAGAAGGAAGAGGGGCTTATCACGTACCATGGGAAGCTCTATGTACCAAGGGACGAGGAGTTGCGGGACAAGATCGTCGGACTACACCACGACACCCCTTTGGTCGGACACGCTGGGATCAACCGAACGCAGGAGATGGTGGAAAGGAACTACTGGTGGCCAAGGATGGGAAACCAAATTCGGACATACATCCAGACGTGCGAAGCGTGCCAGCGGACCAAGACCAGAAGAGCCAGGACAGGGAGTTTGCACCCGCATGCAGTTCCAAACGCGCCGTGGGAAATCATCTCAATGGATCAAATCGGACCCTTACCGGTCAGTAATGGGTATGACGCAATTCATGTGTGGTGTGACACCTTCACCAAAATGATCCATGTCGAACCAATTAGTACTGACATCAGCAGCGAAGGAGTGGCACGATTAACCAGGGACCGAGTCTTCCGCTACCACGGGATCCCTTGCAAGATCATCACCGAAAGGGATTCGCATTACATCAAGGGCTTCATGAGGGAGACGAATCGGATGTTGGGCGTGGAAATGAATCCGGGGACCGCATATCACCCGATCACGGATGGGCAGACAGAACGCATGAATCAGGAGATCGAGCATTATCTCCGCATCTACGTCAACTACCATCAGACGGACTGGTCGGAGTGGCTAGGGATGGCAGAATTTGCATATAACAATAAAATGAACACATCTACCAAAATATCGCCATTCTATGCAAATCACGGATATCACCCATGGAAGGGAGTGGAGCAACGGATGGAGTCGAGAAACAAGTCGGCGGAGGAATTTGTAAAAAGAATGAAAGAAATACAAGACGAAGCAAAAACAGCACTAGAAAAAGCAAATGAAAAAATGAAAAAATACTACGATAAACAAAGAAAAGAAGTTCCGGAGTTGAAGGTTGGGATGAAGGTGTACATAGAAGGGGAAAATATCGAGACGGATCGACCATCAAAGAAGATGAGCGACAAGAGACTAGGGCCATACGAGATATTGGAGAAGGTTGGAGCGGCTGCATGGAAGCTGGATTTACTGGACACGGACCAAAGACATCCGGTGTTCAACGAGTCACTGTTGACACCCTATCACGAACCACCCCCCCATCGCCAAGAGAAGAGGCCTGTAGCCAAGATGATTGGAGGAGCAGAAGAGTGGGAAGTCGAAGAAATCGTGAAAGAGCGAAACGTCGGCCGAGGAAAACAGTACTTGGTCAAATGGAAGGGATGGCCGCATAGCGAGAACACCTGGGAACCATCACGTCACCTTACCCACGCGAAGAAGGTCCTGAGAGATTGGCAGAGGAAACAATCCAACCCAGACACACGCATTCGCCTCCTGCCAACACTCGAAGCCGGACATTGGGACTATCTCATTCACCACTACAAACCCAGAGATGAGCGCCTTCCGTACCCCCAACAACAACTCTTTGACCCTTACGAGAATGTCTTTACTCCCATTGGCCTAGTCGATGAGGACATTGACCCTAGAGAGGGGGTAATGTCATAGTTTGGCCACTTTTTCATCTTATCTTTGACGATCTTATCTTATCTTGGCACGGCTTATCTTATCACGGATCACGGCATCAGACGATCCGGGCTAGGGGTTCCAGGGGTTATCTCTATCGATTCGAGGCTGCGCGACATATGCTCCGGAAGGTTCTACTACAACCCATGACCAGTGCTCCATGCGGTACATAGCCTTATGACTCATTAGTTGTAGATATGACTCAGACTGGATTTGGGTATAAATACTGTAGCTACTTGGTTGTATTCTGCAGTCTTCGAATTCACTTCTCTTTTTGACTTTATTTTTGGGTTGATTGTCACAATTGTCAGGGGAACCCTCGCTTTGGACCAATCAGCCTGGGATCTAGCATGTGATTGCGCTCATGTGACCTGTCAGCTGTCACGCGCAGCAGCCCAGACTGCTGCACCGAGCGCTTCTCTTTGATGGCAGGTGGTGCCATTGTTTCTATTGTCTCCATTTCCCATTGTTCTGTCATGGCCATTGTACTTATTGTTCCTATTGTTCTTGTTTGTTGCTTCATGGTCTATTGTTCCTGTATCATATAAATAGTGGTGCCTGGCAAGGAGAATCCCCAACTTGGTTTCTCTTTGGATTCTCCCTTGCCAGGTATGCCAGTCTTGCACCTAGCTACCACATTTATTCACTTTAGATTCTCCCTTACCAGAACTCTGAGATTGGGTCTCAAGGTTGCCCTTACAATTATCAGCTATCTGACATTTGCTATTAATCTCTGACTATGACTTACTCTTACTAGCTGAACCCATCATTTTTAAGCAAAATAGCACAACATAGGTATATATATGAGTTGTTATATAAATCTAGTGCTGCTTCTGAAAATTAGTAAGGAAGGCATCATTGTCAAGACTTGACAATTCCAGCCATCCTAAATCACCAACATGTCTACTAAGATGGCCAACCAGGCATTCATGTGCCAATGGCCCATCTACAAAGTTACGGCTTGTGACCAGATACATATGTTTCTTGCTTCGGGTCAACATTACA